CGCGTTTTCTGCATTGCATAGCTGCAAAAAAACGCATAAAAATGAAGAAATTCAAAAGTTTAGATAAATGCAAACGTATGTCCACTGCATGTTTAGAAGGAACACAACAGATGAAACAGCATCTGCAAAAAATACCACAACACGTACCAATTGCAATCTGATGTGGCGGATACATCAAAGACAGATCAGTCCTGGTACAGTCGTTACAAATTTTCCAAGCATACGCCGAGATTGTATCCAGATCTTTGTGCTCTCGTGCCATTTCAGCCATTAGTTGATTTAAAGGTCTGAAAAAAATGCTGAATTTTTGGTACTGCTACAACTACAACACAAAAATTTGATTATAAACATGACCTACACAGCACTACGAGTCGATCTTGTTCATCGTTCCGTGACGGCTCAGAGATTCCTATCAAATTTGGGATATTTGTTACTTGTGAGTTGAAATCACAAACTTCGACGAACTTTTGGTGAGGCGTCGAAATGTTTGTTCTTCGAGTTATTTGTGAAGTAAAAGCTGGATTTAGGGGAAAAGCAAAAAATCTTGAATTCCCAAACTAAGCAATATTAATTTCACGCATTTTAATTTCGAAAGTTATTGCTTTTTTTCAAATAAATCCTCTGAAACTAACGTTAGACTATTTACTACGCCATCACACTTAGCGACAGAAGGTATTCGGAAAACCAGTGATGCACGGAGATAACAAATGGTAGATGTCAGCAAGTTGCAGCACATAACTAAATAAATGGCAATGCGCACCAGACTAGTCGGTGCGATCATGCGTTTTGTGCAATTCAGCCCATCAAACGATTGCCCATTAATGATTTTCATTGCTTTGTACTGTTGTCTATGCAAAAATAGTTCAAACATTGAAAAACAGTTAAAAAATTCATGCACCAGCGTATGGAAGCTGAGTTCGGAACACTGAAGGATGAATATCTTTCCGTGATTCCCGAGTTAATAGTTTATCCGCCAAAATTTTCACGAGGCCGTTAGGTGGCAACCGAGAACGCGAGAACGCTGAGTTTGAATGGGCAAGGTTGAGCGTGGGCAGGGGGTCATTATTCTTAAATTTC